ATTCTTTCCTTGCACCTGCCTCATTTCCTTTTTTTTTTATCCTCCATCTACTGCTGCTGCTGCTGCTGCTGCTGCTGCTGCTATTGCTGCTGCTGCTGCGGTGTTTGCTTTTTTCTTAGAGACTTGAAGCCTGAGAATCTGTTGCTGGATGCGTCAATGAATATAAAAATTGTTGACTTTGGTTTATCTAATATATACAGCAACAAACCCATGCTGAGGACTGCATGCGGTTCGCCTTCTTATGCAGCCCCAGAAATTGTACAGGGAAAACTGTATTCTCCTCTTGCTGTTGATATATGGAGCTGCGGGTACACCCGAGAAAAAAATTTATTTATATTTCTTTCTCTGTTTTTTTCTCTGTCTCTTTATTTATGCCTGTCTCCTTTTGTTTTTCTTTCTCCTCTCTATCTGCCTCCTCTTCTTGCTAGTGGGCCGTTTCCCCCTGGAGGGTTAAACAACTGAGGGTCTCTACCGCAGCATCATCACCTTTCTCTGTCTCTCTATCTCTCAATCTATTAAACTATTTGTATATATAACTTTCTTTGTACATCTGTTTTCTCTCTGTCTCCTTGTCTCAATCTATTAAGCTATTTGTATATATAACTTTCTCTGTACGTTTGTTTTCTCTCTGTCTCTCTATCTCTCAATCTATTAAACTACTTGTATATATAACTTTCTCTGTACATTTGTTTTCTCTCTGTCTCTCTATCTCTCAATCTATTAAACTCTTTGTATATATAACTATCTCTGTACATTTGTTTTCTCTCTGTTTCCTTGTCTATAGAGTAATACTTTACGNTTTGTATATATAACTATCTCTGTACATTTGTTTTCTCTCTGTTTCCTTGTCTATAGAGTAATACTTTACGCGTTGCTAGTGGGCCGTCTCCCCTTTGAGGAATCTACAACAGAGGGACTCTACCGCAGCATCATCAGCGGCCACTTCGGCTACCCCGATCACCTGAGCCCCGAGGCCTGCAGTCTCCTTAAAGGCATTCTACACACTTGTCCCCTCAAGCGTCTAGGGCCTATGCAAATAAAACAACACCCCTGGTAAACCTAAACCATCCTAAACCCTAAACCCTAGCTAGATCAACACAGACGCCCCTGGGCCGAGGGGCGAAGGGTTTATAGTTTAGGGTTTAGGGTTTAGGGTTTAGCTGTGTTCATGGAGTTGTTGTGCAGGTTATGCAATGGAAAAGTTCAGCATATACCCAGAAGCCTCTCCTCTCGCTGGCCCAGTGGGCCCCCCGTCTGCTCCCTCACGGACTGCCGCGCCTGCGCAGAGTGGCTCGCGCCGCCATCAGCCCAGGTATGTCTCTCTAGGGTTTAGGGTTTAGGGTTTAGGGTTTAGGGTTTAAGAGCTGCGTCTAGGGGGGTAAAAGATGTGCGGCCCACTGCTGCACGAACTACCAACTGCTGCTGCTTATACGCCGCGAAAGGAATCTGAAGAATCTGCTTAGGGTTTAGGGTTTAGGGTTTAGGGTTTAGGGTTTCAGGCGCTTGTGTTGCTGCAGCTGAGGAGAGACATCCTAGAACAAATGCCGCCATCCAACTACTCTCTTGAGGCCCTCGAGTGCCACATCCGCTGTCATCCCGTTGGCGCCCACGCTGCCACGTAAGCTTCTGCTGCTGCTGCTGCTGCTGCTGCTGCTGCTGCAGTTAACTTTTATTGCGTTCACCTTCTACAGGCTCTCCGCTACGTTTGTCTGTGTGTTGATGCTCAGCTATTATTTGCTGTGTCTTAAAAAGAGGCGGGAGGAGGAGGCAGCTGCAGCAGCAGCTGCCTCTGGCGCCAAAACAGCAGCAGCGGCAGCAGCAGCAGCAGTTCAGCAGCAGCGAAGCTCCCCCTCTGTGCCTTCTTGCGAGGGGCCCCCGGCGTTGTCTTCCACTGTACCGCGCCAGCATACACGAAGGGGCCCCAAAGATCATTCTGCTTCGGCAGCAGAGAGGCAACCGCCTGCAACAGCTCCTCCCCTTGCTGCAACAGCTCGAGCGAAGGAAGCAGAGGGGCGCCGACGGCCTGCTCCTAAGCTGGGGGCCCCTAGAGAGGCACCCAAGGGGCCCCTTAGGGAGTCCCCCAACGGGTCCTTTGTGGAGGCTCAGAGGGGGGCCCTCAGGGAGGCCCCCAAGGGGGCCCCTAGGGAAGCCCCACGGGGGCCCCGTGCGGAGGCCCCCAGGGTCACCCGCGCGGAGGCCCCCAAGGGGGCCCCCACCAGAGCTGAAGTTGCCCCTATGCAGAGGCGCTTGAAGGGGCCCTGCAGTTCTGAGACTTCCCTGCAGCAACGTCTGCAGCAGCAGCGGCAGCAACATCAGCAGCAGCTTGCCGAGAAGCTGCTGCAGCCGCTACTTTGCCGCTCAACTAGGACACAGGCTACCCCCAGCAGCAGCAGCAGCAGCCCGATGAACCACAGCACCGCCGGAGCAGCAAAGGCGTCTCCCTCACCCCAACCCCAGGCCTCTCGCCTCTTAGAAGAGCCCTCTCAAGCAGAAGCCCCTCCCGCTGTTTCACAGGGGGCCCCCCGAGGGGGCCCCATAGGCGAACGTGTTGCCCCCTCTAGCAGCCCCCTAGACGAGGGTCCAGGGGGGCCGTCAGGGCAAGAGACCTTGCAGCAGCAGCAGCTGCAGCAGCAGCTGCAGCAGCAGGAATCCCCTCCACAGCAGGTAGCGCCTAATGATAATATCGAGGGGACAGAAAAGGAGACACTGAAACCCCTATTAGGACAGGCTGTAGCGCAGCAACAGCCAACAGCAACTAGGGAGACAGACCTTGGGTTGCTGCAGCAGCAGCAGCAGCAAGAGGAGCCGGACCCATCTCTGAAACTGAATCGGGTAGGTGCACCTCTGCAGGTGCAGCAGGAGCAGCAGCAGCACGAGAAGCAGCAGCAGGAGCAGCAGCAAGATGAACAGCAGCCCAGCGTGCAGCCACAGCTAGAGAGCGGCTTGGCTGCTGTAGATACACCGCAAGATCTTCTGCAGCAGCAAACAAGCTGCAACGCTCTGCAGCTAACACAACTCATGATGCGCAATATGTTGGCTAGGCAGCATCAGCAGCTTCGTGGGGAGCCGTTCCATCAAGCAGCAGGTTTAGGGGGGGCCCCCGCCGGAGAAGCGGACCCCCTCAGGGGCCTCCTTACAGCCCGGGGGCCCCTGCCCCCCAGTGCCCAACTGAACTGTACCCTAGGGGCCCCCAAGAGCCCTGGACGATCTCTGGAGTCCCTTTTGTCTCCACGTTGCCTTATCCCCGCTGCTGACCTTCTGGGCGACAGCAACACACACCAGCAGCAGCAGCAGCAGCAGCAGCAGCAGCAGCAGCAGCAGCAGCAGCAGGAGGGCTGCGCTTCCTCAGCAGCAGACTGTGCCTCCCTCAGAAGCAACAACTGCCAGGCCCAACAAGATATGTCAGCATGTGTAGATACACTGCAGCTGCTAGAGACAGGACCTCTACCTGCTGCTGGTTCTTCAGGGGCCCCTGCTACTGCAGCTACTGCTGCTGCTTCCTTGGGGCCCCCGCCAATGCTTGTGAGGCTTTCTCTTGGTGCACCCAAAGGCAACACCCACAAGGCGTTGCAGCAGACCTCAAGCCGCCGGCTATCCTATGATTTTCGCGAGATAGATAGAGCCGCAGCATGCGCAGAAGGGAGCAGCAGATGCATGCTGGAAGAGGAGCAGCAAGCGCACAAGGCAGCAAACACGAAGCCAGTGACAACTGCGACCTCCAGGCCTCTTAACGCAACATACAGAACCTCTACTGGCAGCAAGAGGAGCAGCACCAGCAGCGGGAGCAGCAGCAGCAACAGCAGCAGCGGCTATTCGTGCGAGCCTGTGGACAAGTCAACAAGGGTTCTCGGCTCAGCAGCAACAGCAGCCGGCGGATCCATTCGAACGAGGAGAGTCCCAGGCCTCACCTCCAGTCTATCGTTGCAGCAGCAGCAGCAGCAGCAGCCGCTCCACCGGGGGCAGCAGCCGCCACTGCAGCACACCAGCACATGGCAAGCAAAGCGAGTCTCCTTACGCGGAGAGCAGCAAAGACTGCCAGCAGCAACAGCAGCAGGGCGTACAGTCGCGGCAGCAAACACCCCAAGGCCTCTTTCCCGCTCAGAAGCCGCCCCGGGGGCCCCCGCGCCGACAAAACCCGCCAGTAAGGTTGGGGCCTCGAGGGGCCCCCCAAGGCGCGTGGCTCCTTTGCGTTTATCTCTCAGCACAGGCTGCGCTCCCCCCGCTTCGGATGCTGCTGTTGCAGCAGCAGCAGGTGTCCAAGCTACTGCGGCTGCTGCGCCTGCTTCTTCTAGTTCTATGGAGAGGCGGGCCCTTGGCGTTGGCTTGAGTGGTGCGCTGAGGAGACAGTCGCTGGAGAGGCCGCCCCCAAGGGGTTCCCTGACGGCTCGCACTGCCATTAGGCGCAGCGTCGCTGCTGCAGCGGGAAAGGCGCCAGCAGCAGGCGCAGCAGCAGGAGTTGCAGCATCAGCACTCAACAAAGATTGCAGGCGTCTGGGGAGCAAAGTAGGAGAAGGGAATAACGTAAAAATGTTGGGGGGAGGCCTTCGAGCAGCAGAGAGGCCCCTCGCCGTCGCGAGAGACAACTCCAGCGCAGGCAGCGCGGGGGCCCCCCAGCCACCACTGTCGGCAAGAAAACCTCTGATTGACTGCTCAGGCGTCAAGCAGCTGCAGACACATGCAGCAGCAGCTGCGACGGCCCGCGCTCCTCTGCGAGCGGCGGGACCTGCGGGTGCTCCGTCTGCTGCAGGAAGGTCAACCACATCAGCAGCAACGGCAGCAGCAGGAGGAACTGTTCTGCAACAGAGTCGGCTCCGTTCCTTGACAGCTGAAGGCTTGCCAAGCGACCGCCTAAGGGCCCCTGTGAACCCCCGCGGTATACCTACAGGGGCAGCAGCTGCACAGAAAGCCTCCGCCAGGGGTCCTCCAGCTGACAGCCGCGTGCTGAAGACAACTCGAGCAGCAACAAGCACGAGTCTAGCGCAAAAGGCTGCAACTGCAACTGCAGCTGGAGGGGGCCTCTCCCATGCCCTATCAGCTGGTGTTCCTGGGCCCGAAGTGGGGGCTCGGCCTTCAGCAGCTGCGCCAGCAGCAGCGAGCAGCAGAACACTAGATATGCGTGCAAAAATAAGCACGAGAACCAAGACAACCAGCACCACTCGCTCTAGCAGCGGAATCCCATCCCTTGTAGCCCCTTCTAAGGTTACTCGGGGGTCGAAGGGCGGACCGTATCCTGTGTCGTTGCTCTCAGCAAGAGCCTCTGTGCAGCTACTGCACTCCAGCAGGAAGCAGCAGCTTCCGCAGCAGCCACAGCAGCCGCATGCGCAGCCGAAACGCGGGTCTTTGCTTCGCTGCAGGACAGCTGGAACTGCTGAGGAGAACCGAAGGGGCAGTCAAAAGCCGCTCCTTGGGGCCCCAAACAGCACCCGCTGCAGCCTGCAGCAGGGAACGTGCTGAGTGTTGTATTCGCATGTGTATATCTAATTTTTCTTTCGTCTCAACCAGGTGAACTGCTTCTTGTCGTTTTTCTTAGGCCTCGATTAATACACAGAGATTAAGCAGCAAACAACCGGCTAGCAAAAGGCTGCCGCGCTGGGAATTGCCAGACCCGCAGCCCCGCCGCGCGCATATGCATAGAGGCCTACAGTCACAGGCGTTGGGATAGTACCCCATTAAGAATGAGGAAACGATACATGTATATAATAAGTATGTATATAAAATATATGCATAATGTCACACCCTTTCCTCCCTTTCTCTCTCGCAACATATATATATATATATATATATATATATATATATATATATATATATATATATATATATATATATATAGCGCATGCCGCCACAGCAGCAGCCCAGCGTCTTGTAACATCACTCGCCTAGCGGATTACCCAAGTGTGGCTGCTGAACGGGAACCGTGAGAGTGCTGCATAGTTCTGGTCCCTCCAAATGGCGCTGCATGCAATCTATCTGGGCCCCTGAACACGTGCAACAAACACGCAGAGAAGGCAAGGGCTAATGAAACAGCACAGCCCTTGTCTTCCGCTGGGTTAAGGCACAGTGAAGGAGAGCTTGCAGTGCCCGTAGTTGTTATTTATACCTATGAACTGGCTACATCTGTATAGCAACTACATAATATACAATAGACTGAACAAATAGCTACAAATACTAGCTATGAGCCTGTAATACTCCTTCTACTTTGGGCGCATTTGCATCAGATGACGTGCAACCTAGAGCTCACCACACAAATGTACTAAACTTTATTTAGTGTTCAGGCTTGGTAAGCCAGTAAAAGATAAAATGTCCTAGAAAGCACCACGCCTTGGCTGCCTTTGCCGATGTACAGCATTTGCGTTGATATGTATGGATATATATATATATATATATATATA